AGGCTAATTTTTATTTAATTTTTATTGTTCAGGACATCAATAAAAGGCCTTTCACATCAGTCAGTAGCTCCCTTTAACACAAGGCAAGTGTTATTCTTATGCAGTTAGACTTTGTACTTTGACATCCTCTTCTGGCAGGCTTAGAGAGGAAACTTGGGATGGCAACATGTACCACTTGTGTCAGAAGAAGATAAAATGTGAAGGTTTTGGCTTCCAAGGATGGAAACGGGCATTAAAACCAAACAATATTTTCTGGTGTGACTAATTCAAACCTATTACAACAAGTATCATGCAGAGCATTGATATTCAAATAGTCCTGGAGGCTCGTGTGCACTGGGTTATTTCATAGTATCATGCACATAATTAGGTGACCCTCGAGGGAAGAAATCAGTGCTTATGTAATTCAATTGAGGTCAAAAGCAGTTTTCAAACTGGGTTGGCCCCCCAGGGTATGGAAGAAGGAGATAATTTTGTAAAGCACAGAGGAAAATTCCAGCCGACTTCTGTCCACCTCCTTCCACTTCTCTCTTCCCCATGCCTGAAGCACTGCCCCAGCACTGGCAGCTCAGTTGGCTCCGGAAGCTTTGTGGAAAAGGTAATCTGTAATTTCAGCTGTCGGAACCAGGAGTGTGGGAGTCAGCCATTCCAGAGTTTGGGGGGAAAAAAACCAAACAAGAACAACAAGCAAACCAAAACCAAACCCACCAGAAGGGAACTTTGCATATAAAGTTTGTGAACTGCTGTCCTGAGCAAATGGTCCGGAAGCCACAGACTGATGGGGGCATCAGATCCTGCCACCAAGGGGACCTCAGTGCACGATAGCAATTCTGGCTGCAGCATGATATGCTGGCCTTCCTCAGTCACCATGTGGCCCAAGGCCTCAGGCATGTCCTCAAACAACCCCGCTGCTATGTAGAGGCTTTAAAAATTTTTGTGCTAAAGTTTTAAAGCTCACAAAGAGCCTTTGGAGCTACTGGCCAAGAGCACGAGTAGATTATCAATAACGTGTTTTTGTTTCTCTCTTGAATGAATGCTTTACTCTCCAGCTTTCAGGCATCCAAATAATTCTAACAGAAGTTACTTGGACTGAAAAAGGACAAAATTGTGTCTGTAAAACCATGAAAAAACTAATTAATGAAGTCAACAAAAGTTTCCTCCAGAAATGGGATGGACCATTTATAGAAAATGGATATTGACGTCAGTGGCTATGTTCACTTATTAAAATTTAAAACAAAGCTGTGAAGAAAAGAGTTTTGTCAGACTTTCTTTTTAACGTCCAGTTTACGAGGAGTTGGAAATAAAGTTGCTTTTCCAACTCAGTTGGTATGATGAGGGAAAACATAGAAGAGATTTTTTTGGTTTCCTGTTTATTCTTCAGTTTGTTTAACCATGTTAAATAGCATGATGGCAAACCACCAGAGTGCACAAGCAATGGGTAGAGTCCCAGTTTCCCTTCTGTCATGGATAGGGATGATGAGAGATGCTGCCTGGGGAGTACTGAGCTGTATAAATCCACTCCTGAGCTCTCTCTGGTGAGACTGAAGAGGAGACTGACAATTACCAGTGGTTTTTTTGGAGGAAAAAAAGCATAGTTTCATAAGAGTAACCCACCTGACCCATTTCAGAGATGTATTTTATAAAGAAATCATGGTTTAAGTGCTTAGTTTTCTAAGCAATTCCTTTAAATTTAGATGTCAATATTGCAAGTGTTAAAGTTTAGAGAAGCTGTTCTTGATCCATGTGTGTTCTCTTATTTGTTTCCCCCACTACCTCATCTTCTTCCCCCTCCTTTTCTCTCTGTCAAATTACCTGTTATTTTAACTTCTTTTTAAGATTTAAATGGGTTTGTTATCTTAAATAAAAATCCCCAAAGAGATTCTTGCTTCCTGTTTTTGTATTTTGTACTGTTTAGATCTCACTATTGTATTACTTGAAAATCTATTGAATAAAAGAAGAAAATGGAAAGTTTCACTTATATGTACTAAAAGGTTCTAGCAAATTGTACACTACGTTTGTGACTGGACTAATTAGAGAACAAAAAATTGACTAACTTGTCACTTCTTATTACCATATTCAGAAAAAAACCCCAGGCAAACAAATGAAAGAACCCCTCAAAAGTATCATGTGATGAGTTAAAGCACAGTTATTTTAGCTAATACAGGTTATTAAAATGCCTTTAGCTCAAGAAATGAGGATTTTTGTATAGTTTTGTGTTTCTTATCTGGTACCTCCAGTAACAGAAATACAGAAAATTTTTTTAATTCTAACACATGAACAGTTTTTACCCTCTTCTGTATATGCATGCTTGCCAGAGGGCTCTACTGCCTGCTACTTTTTCTGCTACCTGAGAGTTTTGACATCTACTGTATCCTTCATGCTCTAGCTGCAATCAGCAAATGCACCTCCTCTTTCTTCTTCTTCTTCTTCTTCTTCATTCCCACCTGGGGGCTACTTAATTTTCTTTCTCTGTTTCTGTTCTCTGAGCCCATTAGCTTGGTTTCCTTTGCTCATACTGTTTGTGTAGCTCTGCCTTCTGTGTCATTCTGAGTTTTGTTTCAAACCAACACCCTTGCTTTCTGACACGGAGTATGAGATGAGTCATAATGACAGTGCAGTTTGTATTTGGAGTCAGAATAAGAAAGTCTGTCTCACCAGTGGGCATCTGGAACTTTAGGTTCTTTTGGTGACACTTTAGACTTTTGAAAGAAACATTCAAATTCTTTGTCAGCTAACAATGAATCCACCCCAAATTTTTTAGTACCTTGTGTCTGACAGTTTAGAAATATCATCTTCAAACAATGAACTTAAACATTCTGGGATATTTCCAAAATACTTCTCTTATGGAGCAGAAAGCCTTAGCTGCATCTGGTGAAGGATCTGCTGTTGTGATGGAAACGTGGATGTGCACCAGAAGGAATTCTATGTCTGGCAATTGACATTGTCACTGTTTCAGAACAGAGTTTTTTAGTAGATCAAAATATCAAATCATAATTTTTGCACAATGTGCTCTGAATTTTGAAAGATCCATATGTGACAATTTTACTTAACTTGTTTTCTCAGAGAATGGAAGGACAGTTAAGTGTCATTTGTTTGTTTGTTTGTTTGTTTGTTTTTCGCCCTGCTAGGTCCTTTTAGAAATACTTAAAATCATGAGGTTCAGTAACATGAACAAAACATAATGCTCAAACACATAGGAAGGATCAAAAGGGAATATTTAAATGTGAAAATTGTATAGCCAATTACGTCTCTATATATTGCTCCCTGTCATCCAATAACAGAATCTTCTCTTCTATTTAGTATACTCTTGAACCTCAGAGCTTGATGGATTGTTCAGGCCTTCTCCCCATTTCCAAGAGTTAGAGTAACGAAAAAGAATTTTACCAATTCGGAAAAACAGAATTAACTGACTTGTTATGATGTTTCCAAACCACATGATTAAAAAAAAAAAATATTCCAAGTAGTATCCTAATGGAGGAATAACATAAGGTACATGAATGAAGAAGTGTCCTTTAAAAACAGGGTGATTTTTAATTGCATATGCAGATAAGAATGGTGATCATCTCTTTAACAGCTTAAAAGCAGCAAGAGTGATCCATATTCAGTGACTTCATTCTTTGCTTTGCATAAAGTTTAAATAACTTTGCTTTATACAGACAGATTCTTGAATGGGATAATAAATTGTACTTACAGCTTCATTATAAGGAAATAATTTTGTGTTTGTTTTCCTTACAAATCCATGAACTAACTGGATAGCTAAGAGTCATTCTGTTCCAGAATTTACTTTCTAAGACTATTCTCTAATTTTATAGTTACTTACAGAGCTTCCCTTACAGGGTTACATTTTCTCTACAAAAATTGGACTCTAGAGTTCTTTGAATTAACTATTCTTATTCTTTATCCTTAAGAATTTCTGTTCTCTCTTATTGAACAGAGAAATGAAACAGATATTAAGAAATGGATCTTTGAGATTCTCCCATGTCTGATACACCGGATTCTATTGTAAATAATAATCAGCTCATAGAGCCTGAGAATGGAGATAAGGAGATGAATGTTTCCTTAGTGTTCTCTGCAGGATCCTCATTCAGCAAATCAAGGGTCAAATGCATTTACAAAACATTAGGAGAGAAATCTTGCATTGTCGCAGTGTGTTCCTGGGGAGTACTCAACTTTACACACTCATTTACTGCCCACATGGAAACTCAAATGAAAATAAATAAATAAATAAATTTTAAGTAATTTTGTCTCTGAGCCTAATTAAACCACACAGTGAAATGTGGGAAGGCAGACAATGTTTCCTACTCTCTGGTTGCCTGGCTTATCAACATCCAGGAGCAGAGTCAGTAATAAGTTTCAGGAGAGAGCACAAACTAATGCAGGCTGTAGGTAATGCAGAAACAACATTTTGTCCTGGGATGTGGGGATTAAAAGCTAAAGTAAACAAGTTGGTCTTTGTTAGGTTGAAACATCCTTCCTTGTATGATTAAAAGGGTCACAAGACTCTTTTTAATTAAAGTCTACAAAAAGGCCACCACTTCCCATTTAAGGAATGCTCAGAGCTGATGAATAGGTGGCTCTTGGTGTGGGGCTCTAATTCCAATTTGTCATTTGCCTGTAGTATTACAGTATGATCCCTTCCCTCCTGAGAGCTGCCAAAACGGTGTCTGTGAGCAAGTTGGTTGTATAGTTTCACTGGTAAATACATGGATCTGTTATTGTTTACTTATTTTTTGGGAAATTGTTCAAATACACAGTAAGGACACTAATATTAGAAAGATTTTGATGAAAGGGAGAAATAAACCTTTCGTCATAGGGTAAGGCAAATCAGCACCTTCTAAATATTGTCATTACTGGTGAGAAAGAAGCAAAATTATGATGAACAGCTATAAAATACACACAAAATTTTCTAATTTTTTCTTGGGATGAAAAACAATGTCATGTGCATTGGCAATTATTCTTTTTTTTTATATTAGACTTTTCTTTCTGTTTTTATTGCATTACAGAAACTCAACTTACTGTATGAAAGTGTCCATTTCGCTGACGGTGGGTGAAAATGACACTGGACTCTGCTACAATTCAAAGATGAAATATTTTGAGAAAGCTGAACTTAGCAAAAGCAAGGAAATCTCATGCCCTGAAATTGAGGATTTTTTATTTCCATTTAGGGAGCCTGAAATTCTGTGGTATAAGGTAAGGAATGCAATCGATCTATACCTTCAAAAAGATACTATGCAGTGTTCTTTTGATTTTCATGATCTAAATGTGTTATGAAACTTCGATTGTTTTAAAATTTGTAAAGAACAGACAGCAGAATCAATGATAGAGAAGAACAAACTAATTGAGAGAGATTCAAATGCTTCCTTTGGTAAACTTTATAAGATATCTGTGCATGCTCTTACCTGAATTAATGGCTTAATTTTGCAGCATGAAATTCAGCTTATACTACCAAATCTTTGATTTCTGCATGAGTTGAGGTTATATTTGCAAATATAATTTCATTTTTTTAATCTTACTATATGTACTGATTTCTAGATCTTTACTTAAAGGCTAAGTTCTTGCAGGTAGTGCTCCCTGTGTGTAGTGCACTGGAACTTCCATGAACAGCATCTTGAGTTCTTCAATTCTTACTATCTACATGAAATACTCAGTACTCCAGTTCTCTATTTAAAGACCCCAAACTGCTCAGTAAATTGGAAATTTATGTTCTGTGTATTTTGTCTGCATAGACCCTTACAGATGTCTGTGTATATAGGAAGTCCTAGTTTAAGTATGCACTGGTATACATTCTAATTATTTTTCTGAAGTGTGATAATTTACACGATAATATAAATGCTATTAATTATGGTTTACTGGTGGTCTAGTGGTTAGAGTGCCTGACTCTCACCTCTGCGACCCGGGTTCGATTCCCGGCCCCCTGGGCAGGTGGAGCTCGTCAGCCTTGGTAGGCAATCCACCTAAGAGAAGGTCACTCTAAACAAACCTACATCCTGGGGACCTCACTGCCACTGTCCAAGCTTTGCTCGGCCCCGGCAGATGAACCTCAGGACTAAAGGGTGGGCTCAGTTCAGCGCACGCTGTGTCTCACCTAAAAATCCACTGCGCAGGCTGGAAGGGTTAATGACCTTTCCCAAAAATCTTCGCTCGCGAAGACTGGCCATTACAAGGCTATGCTATCTAATGAGGGAAATTTTGTGGCCTAGAGAGATATGGTTCAAATTAACTTACAGCATATCTAAGATAGGAGAAATGTAACCAATTATTTGCTTATTCTCATCTTGGATTTTGTGTTTGTAATACAATATTTTTGTAGATTAAAAACTCACATTTTCTAAGTTCAGAGAGCTTTGATTTTTAGATGGTTTTAGAAAGATATGTATATATATATTTCTCTTCATTCTCATAGTCTTCTGCTTCTCTAAATTTTTTTGTTATAATGTAAAAAATAATTATTAAGAAGAAAAAAAAATAATCCTTGCCTGAAGCTGCTGGCAATATAAAAATCCTTGCCTGCCTAGCTGATGGCAGTATAAAAGTAATAGATCACAGGCATAAGTGTAATGGTAAATACATAAATTAAATGGGAAACACTCAACAAACTAATGTCAAAAGAAAACCACCAAAGAAATCAATTCCTTGTTCTTGACAGAGGCACAAATATTAAATCAGCTGATAAAATTCCAATCTTTTTTCTTTTTAATCAACACCTAAATGGACTGGATTTTTAGATGTTTAGTGTATACACAGTTTATAACTAGCCTGGGCTGTTGCCTAGCCCCCTTAGCTTTGAGCAGCATTGTAAACAGTGGTCCATTTTAAGTGTAACAATGCAGTCACTGAAGTGTTATATTGTCTTTAAACAGGAATGCAAGTCAAAGACATGGAGATCAAGTATTGTGTTTAAAAAGGACACTCTTGTCATTCGGGAAGTTAGAGAGGATGACATTGGAAATTACACTTGTGAGTTAAAATATGGATTCTTTGTTGTCAGAAGAACGACGGAATTAACAGTTACAGGTAATTACAGGATCTTGCTATATCTCCTGTATTTATATAAAAAATATTGAATACTGTGATTTGAGTTGTGTGTATTTGAGTCATTTGCACACAACTTTGCTGTGTGCCTAGATATGAACGGCTCATACATTTAAGCTCTCCTGGATACTTCACAGTGGTATCTCTAGCCACCTTGACAAGTCTGACTTCTGTTCTGTTCCAAAAGATTGTGGGGAGCTCTTTCTTTTGACTGGAAAATGTGGTCAAGGAACAGGTAAATTCAGCAAGCACTACCTCTAACAGAAAATAAGATTATTAAATCTTATCATACTTCTTCATGTGATTAAATGCCTTGGGATTTAAACATAGCTGTAGCAATAGCTCAATAGTATTAGCTCTAATTGTCTTTGGATGTGAGAACGGCTGTAGCCACAACCCAAGAGCAGCAGCTCTGTCCCAATGAGACCTTTGCACCTGTGTGACAGGTGCCTGAGCAGGGCGTGACTGAGGGGTAGTAGCATTATTCCCCTGGTATTCTCTCCCCACTTTCTGCAGTTTATAGTTCAAGAATTTCCTGATCTCAATTATCATTCACCGTGGCTACCAATTAACCTATTTTCCATTAGTCTGATTATTTTTCTAATCCATTTAGTCTTGGCTTCAAAAACATTTTGAAGTATCAAGTTCCACAGAGTAATTATGTAACATAAATAAACTATAATTTAGTAAACAGCAATTGAACAAGATACATTTAATATAATCTGCATTTAAAACTACCATATCAATATGTAAAATCCATTATAGATGAAAACAAAATATATACTGTAATAGTGATGTCCACGGAACAGTATGAAGAATGGTCCACTGAATTTTCAATTCCTCACCAGACCTCCAACCTCTGTTTTAAAAATACGTAAAACATATAGTTGAACATATACCTAAGGTAGAAAATCAGCCTTTAGAATTATAGGATAACAATGGAAGACAGGAGTACATAATGATCTATGCAATGCTATGTAGTTACACAGTAAATTTCATAAAAGAAGGCAAAATAAGGATTTTCTTGGAACACTAGAGGTGAACTAGATCCATGTGACCGTCAGACGCCTGCATGTATGAGTTCTTACACCTTCAAAATACCTAATAAATCAAGAAACAAATCTTAGAGAAATTATTTTGTGGGCTTTTCTTGCTCCTTTTAGTATCTAATATACAAATCTATTGCATACCAACAACTAGTAACACACTAATGTTGGGTGGTAGGTTGAATAGCAACAGTTTCTTTCAGTGGTGAAAAGTTTGTTTCCTCTTTCAATGTATCCCATTTGCCCTCTCCATTAACAGAAATTATAGAGAATTGTGGTATGTAATTAGATGAGTCTGGAAATCCTATAATTTATGTTGTTTTGGGAGATTTCAAGTAATCAATTGTATTTATTTAAGCTCAATAACCAGAATCTTTTTGTTGTTGTTGTATGGAATTGATTTATTTGGTCAGTACAGGCAGGCAATTACTGTCAAGTGATTAACCTCACAGTAAACATCTATGTACTCTGTTTGATTGACTCTGATATAAAGAAAACAAAGAGAGATTCTTCGAGCATGTGATTTATACCAGAAGGAGGTTGTCAATTGTCTTTTACAATATATGATATATGGATTTGAAGAGTACGTATTCCCTCTGTCATCAGGTGATCCCTTCTGTCCCCTGCTCCACTGCACAGCAGTATTTCAACAGGCTCAGACTGACGAAAAAGAGAATGGAAAAAAAAAGTTGGAATCAGATGCATGTTTGCATTTGTAGGAATAATTTAAAAAAAATGTAATTTATCACTTGTAGTGTAGGTAGGAGTTCAGTATTTAATGTTTAACTAGACGGAGACAGAAGGAGACTTGGCTGATTTTGATGTGCTAAAAATGAATGAATGCATATGGAGGGAATTATTCAATTTCCACCTCTGCAAACTCCAGTAGATTTAAGGACAACCTCCAAATTAGTAAACTTGGGTAGTACTGTAGGTCTTCATAACATCTTTATAATATTATGTGACTAAAGAGGACAAGCAGATTTACTTATAGTACTACTAATTTTATTACACCAATATTGATGTCTTGATAAGACTTTTATTTAGTGCTTTATAGGTAGAGATTCTTAACTTAGGTGCCTGTCATGCTTTCTCAGTGGCCTGAAAAGCAAGTTGAGGTGCCATGGACATACATTGAGGAGTTCATAGAATAAATGGGGGCTGGTGGAACAGACTGTTTATTTGATTTGGAAAAGGAATTAAACTTTAGTTTAGGAACTGAGAAATAAATGTTGCAAATGTCAAATTAAAAGTAGAGAATTAAATTGATAGTTGATTTCCTTACTGTATTAATGAAAACATAATTAATGGAAACAAAGGAATAACACACCTCTCAGACGTACAGTCTCAAACATGTCACCAGGCAGTATCAATAAATGGTGACATTTGTGTGAACCGTTGCTGACAACAAATTCCATCAAATTGCATCAGCTCCACAAGGAGTGATTTTTTTTCCTAAGACATTTGAAATTTCTCTACCAAAGATACTTTTTAACTAGAATGAAAAAAAATTAAAAATATTAGTAATAATTAACAATTTACCTCAGAGTTTTCAGAACATGTGGGAAGTTGCGATTTGTTTATCAACATATAACATGTTTATCAAATTTGGATTTATGAAAAGTAACTCTCTGTATTCCTTAGTATTACCCTTTGTGATAATGTTGTGTGTGCTGCTGTCACACACCCATCATTAGAAAACAGTCTCTTATTTTTTTACATTTTCTATGTGCTATGTTTCCAAGTATGGGTTTATGTAAGATTGGAATTTGGACTTTCTACATTTCTTTCCTGGTATATACCACATTTCCTCTAGAAACAGAAAAAAAAAAAACAAACCACACTTGTGATAAAGAAATCTATGAGCCAGATATTTTTTATATATATGTATGTGTATGTATGTGTATATATATATACGCACACACGTTTGTAGTATTCTCAGTATAAAGCTGAAGATCCCAGTCCCTGCATTTTCCTTTCTTGACCTGGGTGGCATGGCTGGAGCACTTGCCGTTGAAGGCTGAGGCATAGAAGTCATCAGGAGCCTCAGCCTTCTCTTTGCCCAGGGTAGCCAGGTCTCCCGTTTCCTTCCATCAAAGGAGAGGGCCCACATTATCCCTATTCTTTCTTTTGCTTGCAACATATCTACAGAAGCTCTTCCTGTTATCCTTGATATCTGTGGATAGACTCAATTCTTACTGGGCCTCGGTTTCCCTAACCTTGTCCCTAACTTTCCGTACAATTCCCCTGCATTCCTCCCAGGCCACTTGTCCTCTTTTCCACTTCTTTGAATGTGTCCTGTAAGTATTTTGAAAGTGTAGTGACATTCAGAGTACTCTGAACTTTCTGGTGATCTTTTAAGATGAATGTGGCTGTCTCTCTTAAAAAAAAAAAGGAAGAATAAAATAAATTTTATTGGGGAGGAAAAGTTATGATGTCTTCAGACAATATGAGAAAGGTTAGAAACAGTTTTCTTTACCTTATAAGCACTTATAAAAAGCTCTCTTTCTGGTGTTATCCACAGTTATTAAAGTAGAAGGTAGAACATCTTCACAAAAGTTTTTTGGAAGAACAGAGTCATATGTGTAAGCAACTGCAATACTGTAAATTAAGTAGTAGCTGCCGGATTCCTTAAGGCACGCAGGGTGAGCCAGCTACAGCCCTGGGGGGATGAGGCAGCAGGCTGTCTTCCTCAGTGCTCTTCTCTCTGGGCAACTATGAAAGATCACTGACCTAAGGATCCCCTTTTTTTTCTCACACGATGCACTTTGGCAGCCTTTCTGTCTGCTATGGGGAAACACTGCTGTTATCCCAGACTGTTAGCTGTGGATGCAATTATATATGCACATTCTTTTCAGTATTGATGTTGTGTATGCTTGTTATGATAAGCTCAGTGCTTTATACCTTACATACCTGTGTGCCTCATGGTGAAATATGGAATGGCTCATATTCTGATTTGGAACTAAAATTGAAAAGTAAGAACAGAATTCACATATTTTGAAAAAGGCCAAACTCACTTCCTAGGTGGTATCCATCTCATCTTAGTATAGCTGTTGAAAATCCCTAGGCCATGGTAAAAGGTGATATTCCCTCCTTTTAAAGAATGATGAAGAAAATTGCCTTTTCTTAGCTTATATTACAAGCACTTATTGCCACCTTGGGTACATCTTTAAAATAACAACTATTTTACGGCTCAAATTTTTGTTGGTTTGGTTTGGTTTTGAGTTTGGTTGTTTTTTTTTCTGTGATCTTAATGGAAAATTTTAAATATTTTAGAAGATCTGTATCTCATGGTGAAAACATATTATTGTCTAAGAGATTTGAATCAATTTCCTTATTATTCTGAGATCTGACTTAGAAATTACATGCTTTTCAAAACACAAACTATACACTGATTATTTCTGCTTGTAACTTATGAAAATATTCACATAAACAGCCCAGTTGGTAGCTTTTTTGGTTTGTGGTTATGCAAATACATATTCGAAAAAGTCCTGCAATGTACAGAGTCATATGTAGACTTTTATACTTCCAGAGTGGTCAGATTAGCAGTTTTACTTTTATAGGTGGAGTTTCAATTAAGGCATACCTGCTCTCTCTGACATACTTAATTTAAGAATATGTTCAGACTTGGGAAAGAATCGTATTTTACAGCATAGTGCCCAACATGGGTCAAAAATATTTTCCTGCAGTGGTTTCTTTTAATTAAATATTGTTTAATAATATTCTTTTTGTTACTTATAGTACTGAGGCATTTGCAAACTCTTTCCACTTTCGCAGGATTTCATTCAGATCAAATGAAGACTAGCCTGTGTCTGAGAGGGATCGTACGTGTCCCCACTGCAATAACGAATAGTTCTCAATGATGAACATCATAAAGCAAACAGACCCAATCAACCTTGCAGTTGGAGCATTGCTTATTCAATTCCTCCATGGCAT